TATTACTGGCAGTCAACCAGGTTTGGATTATTTGGGCGGTGTGAATTGGCCAATTGTCTTGTTGCAATATCCATTCTTGATTCGGAAATAAAGCTGTTATGGTAGCAATTTGCCGTTGCAGCACCTCCAAATGCTTTTGAGCAATTTGCTGACCTTCTAGAAAGTCGATGCCAACTCTGCCTTGACTTGAAATTGCTGCAAAATCACCACTAAACTTACCCGACTGCGACGGCGAGCCAAAAAATCCTCTTTCATCCTTACCTCATGAAAGTAATATTGGAAACCATCAGGACCATCCAGGTTAATCTTCTTTTCATCCGTGAAAACGACATTTTTCCATTCCTTTGTTCAGTAACGTTCTTGTCGATGAGGTACAAGCAGCAAAGGCTTCTTGCCTAGTTTTCTTCTTTTTTAAGTTTGGACATTTCTTTATTACCCTTTGGATAGTGCGTACAGTTGCATTACTTCCACTTCGATCCCTTATTTGTCTAGCTGTTGGCGAAGAATTGGATGTAAGTCGAAGAATTACACGACGTTCTCTTAGTGTTGTTGCAGTTGAAGTGCGTCCTTGTCGATTATTTTCGTAGTTTTCGCTGTCTTTTAAATAAGCATTGATTACCCATAAGCTGCGCCCGATGGGTCTTGCAATTTCTAGTTTTGAATAATTCTCCTCTCGATAAGCTTGAATTCGCCAATTAACAATAAGAATAGGAAAAATTGATTTTTTTATTATTTATTTAATTTCATATGAGACAATGTGTATTCCGATTAAGTATGGAAAGTGATTTCAGTCCAGTGGCCACCTCTGCTGGCGCTCGGCAGTACCTCATTCTAGAACACCAATTTTCGAGCACTTTATTAGCAGTTTGCTGGTCTATTTGAGCGATTTGAGCTTGAATGTTTTGTTTTAAGTGGTCAATTGTTGGAGGATTGTCCGCATCAACTTTATCAACAACTTTTTTAACAATTTGTCCCAAAAAAAGTAGTCTAGTGGTGTTAAATCGCAGCTGCGCGGTGGCCAATTAACATCTCCAAAACGACTAATTAGACGATTGTTAAACTTTGTGCGTAAAAGGTTGACGGTGGCCCAGGCGGTGTGGCAAGTCGCACCGTCCTGTTGAAACCAAACTTCCTCAAGACCGATATTTTTCAATCCTTGCCACAAAAAGTCATTTATCATATCTCGATAGCGGTTGCCATTGACTATAACGGCCCGACCAGCCTCATTCTGAAAAAAAGGCCCCAATCACGCCACCACTCCAAAATCCACACCACACAGTGACTCGGTCTGAATGTTGGGCTTATTTAAGACGACGAGAGGATTTTCGGTGCCCCAAATTCTACAGTTTTTCTTGTTAACACAACCGTCAAGGTGGAAATGCGCCATCCGAAAATATTATTTTTCTTCCAAAATCAGGGTCATCGTTCAATTAAAGTCCAATCAGCGAAGCGAAAACGTTTTTGATGACCAATTTGCTTCAACTCTTGAACGTGCTGGTCTTTGTACGCATACATACCAAGATCTTTGTTCAAAATCCTCCTTAAAGTGGTACGACTAATGTTCAGTTGTTGACTTTTGCGCCGAGTTGATGTTGACGCGTTAAGACGCACACTTTTGCCCACAGCCGCAACTGCTTTAAGCGTACGCCTTGGATGAGCATGCGCATCATGTGTCATGCCCACCAGCATTCCACTTCTGCGTACTTTATCAATAAAATTCTTAATTCCTTGGTTTGACGACGCCTCATTCCTTCAAAACTTTCTCAGCAAATTTCGTGCGGTCTCGGCAACCACAGAGCCACACTAATTTTGAGTATTTCAAAACGTTGATCCAAATTGCGTTTTGAACGGTAAAAACTTGTTTAATTTCAACGGAAGAGTGCAACCGTAAAATTTAATTACTCATTGACTGCCAGGATAAAAATTGAATTATTCAAGTCATTCCAGCTAGAAAAAAGTCGGTACTTTAAACATTTTATTAACAATCAGAGAACTTAGAAAGACCATAGGGCAGGTACAAATGTAACTAAGTTAAAAATAATTTGTCGTCGAAAAGTCCATCCCCATTCGCGAGAGCCCCGATCAGCCGTATCCTTAAAACTTGATTTCACTAATTCACATCCTAAGCTTAAGAACAATTCAACTAAGCAGATCCAGATAGACTTTAATGATGTTTGGTTTCGAACTTCAACTGTTGCACATGTTCGTCCAGTTTCTTCACTTTAACTTCACGGTCTTTCTCGCTCCATGCGTACTCTTGTTCAATCGTGTGTCCATCGCGTTTCTCTGCCCGTTCCTTCTTGTCTTTGGTGTGCGGGTCCTCGACCCCATACTTGAATTCGTACTTGGGATAAGCGTAATAGTCGAACGTTTTGTACTCCAAAGCGTAGGCACCGACAACCACAAGGGCGAACACGATGAGAGTTTTGGATAACATTTTCGTTCAGCTACTATGGATCGACTGTGCCTGTTCGCCCTTTGACTAAGGCTTTTATACAGCTTAATATTGGAGGGTAAAAGCGTGGATTGGTGCAAGGAAATGGGGAAATTTTTGGGTCTAAAAATGCCCAATTAACGTTTTATGTGCGGCTGGTCAGAGAATGTCCAACTATCTATTTTCTGTATTAATTATGCTGATTATTCGAGTTTGGCACTCAATTAGTACGTAATTGCCAGAATGGTAATTATGTGGATAAAGATGATAATTGTAGATATTACATATGTTTTGAAAAATTATTTTCCAAATTATTTTGCGGCAAGAAAAATGTATGCGTCGACGTCAATCTTATTTGTTCTCTTTTTTCTTTTGTCAATTGATGATATCAGAAGAATTAGCGGCAAATTTGTTTCTTTAGTCAAAAATCCACAAAATCAGTTACTAGACAATTTATTGCCGTTTTACGCAGTTTTTTTACCCGAGCTTTTTAACCAAAAGTTTATTTTCAACCTCTTAAAATATTGGCATTTGAGGAGCCAATCAAATTAATATTTGAAATTTTTATTGTTTATCCATTAAATAAAAATCGGTTTTTGGGAAAAAGATGCAACGGACGTTTGTCTTCACTGCAGTTTTCCTTTCGTACCTAAGTCGACATATTTTTTTGTATCTTTCTGTTTGATTCTACAAATTTAAGTTGGCCTGTTTTGAAACGAAACCCTTGTATGTAAAAATGCGGTGTTGAATTGGAAGTTTTGAAATCGAAAAGAGATGAACATTTCAAATATGTTTTTTATATTTTTTGCGAGGCGAAAGTAAAATATTGACAGGAACGGGGGAGAAATTGCTTAATTTTTATGCGTCGAAACAACTTTCAGCGAAAATTGCGATAAAACTGGTGAGGTTTTAGGTGAGATCGTCGTGAAATATAATTTCTTCCTGTCGTTTCATCAGTTTCAAGCAATGGGCTTCGGAGCCTGAATCTTTTGGTAAAAATTGCAATATACAAGGTGTCCTGTAAGCACATGGTCAAAAGGGTACTGCGATATTCTTTGCATCAAAAGAAGCCGATCTGACCTAACTTTTACTAGCAAAAAATGTCTGGATCCTCTGCTATTGATGGTCAAAGTTCTTCAATAAAATGATCTTTTTTGAAATATCGGGAGAATGGCACCATGCATTTTGATGAAACTCGCTGTGAATTTGTTCTTATGTAAGACTCATATTTTAATGAAACAATCGAGTTCAGCCGTTTTCGACAAGTGGTGAATTCTTGAGTGTCAGAAACAAAAACCAGCAGAACTTTTTATTTGGTGGATGAAATCAACTCATTTTTTCGTTGATGCACTAATCATGTATTCACAATTTTGTGCTCCTTGTAAAATCTTGTAGCATCACGTCACGACACTCTAGAATTCACCACTTGTCCAAAACGGCTGAACTCGATTGTTTCATCAAAATATGAGTCTTACATAAGAACAAATTCACAGCGAGTTCACCAAAATGCATCGTACCATTCTCCCGATATTTCACAAAAGATAATTTTTTTGACTTTGACCATCAATAGCAGGGGAGCTAGATATTTTTTGTTAATTAAAGTTAGTTCAGATCGTATTTTTTTGATCCAAAGAATATCGCAGTTCCCTTTTGATCATGTGCTTACGGGACACACTCGTTTCTTCTGTTCTTCTTTCAAGTTTTTCCGAACTTCCCATTTTCTTTTCTTTTCTTCCCTCTTCTCTTCTTTTTCTTTTCTCCGATTCCCCGGACGCCATTACAAAAATGGCGCCCGAGCAGAGAGGTCTCTTTGTCTTTTCTTTCAAGCTCTCCCGTTCTTCTGTTGTTTTTCTTTCTCATTTTATTTCTTTTTTCTTCAATTTCCCGGGCTCCATTACAAAGTTTTAGCGAGTGTAGTCGCATAAAAATCGTCTGATTTAAAACAAATAAAATCGCATTTTTGTCTGTTATATATTTATTCATAACAAATCCCCAAACATAAAATCACCGCTCTGGAGGTTCTCATCTAGTGTTTGATTTCAAACTTGACAAATTTGCCCTCGCTGTCCCATTTCTTCAGTTCCACTTTGCGATCCTTCTGATCCCACTTGTACTCCTGCTCCACTTTGTGGCCATCCCGTTTTTCTGAGCGTTCCTTCTTGTCCTCGGTCTTTGGATCGTGCACCCCATATTTGAATTCGTACTTCGGATAGGCGTAATGTTCGATTATTTTGTGCTCTAACGCATAGGCGCCAACGACGATCAGAGCGAACACTAGAAGGGTTTTAGACATCATCTTTGTCAGGCCGGTTGCTTTGGTTCATTGACTGTGCCGTGATATTGTTTAAGGGGCGCTGTTTTATACGAACTATTCGAATTTAGATTGTGGTGGTTTAGATTTTCGGGTCTAAAAATACCGATAAATGCTAATGAAAATAGTAATTATCCCAGCCGGTAACGATCGCTGACCTGTATCAAGTGTAACACTTTCTCTTAATTTTTTCCGTAATTATACATGTCCAATGAGGGCTTTGGGATAGTTATTTATCAATGTTGTTGGTTGCAGAAAATCTGGCGCCGGCCGAACTGAAGAAATTGAAGAACAAGCAGCGGAAGGCTCAGAAGAAGGCTGAGCAGGAGAGTGCTCAAGCAAGGGAAGCCCAGGTGAAAAGAGATCAGCACAATAAATCCAGACAACAAGGGGATGCAGAAGCAGACGCTCCTCAACTGGATGAACTCATTCCGGATAAATTAGCGAGAGTGAGTGCTTTTGCAACCGACGTACAGCAAGCAAGTAAATAAAATGTAACCGTTTCAGATAGAGGATCCGTTAGAGCAAGCAATTATTTTTCTGCAACCTCTTCAGACGCTAGCCAGAGATCGGATAGAAACCCACCTAATGGCCTTCGAAGTTTATTATAGAAAAAGTTTGTTCTTTCACACTTTTGCTGTTCTATTTATCTATTCAGAAAATTTTAGGAAAAGTTCTTCTGATGCTGCAGTCGATCAAACGCGCACATCAAGTGGATGCACAACACCCCAAGCTACACAGTTGCCTGATCAGATTTCTACGGGTAGTCAAAGATAATCAACACAACTACGACAACGCTGTCTCTGAAGTGGTAAGTTGCTATTGGTTTTCTTGCCTTTGCTTTAGCGCTTATATTCAACAATGTTTTAGATAACGACTGAAACCAAGACCTTGTTGAGTACCAAAGATGCGAAAACCTTGAACAAGGAGTTTCTAGATAGTCACAAGGATAGTTTAAAGGCGGCGCTTGAAGTGGCGATAGTTATGTATCAATTAGATAATAAAGCCCAGAAAGACGCCCTTAGTTTAGTCCAGGATATCGCGAACAATAAATATACCGATGTAGATATTGAAGTAAGTCATCACTCCGCAAGGGCGATATTTATTTATTGTCACCCATTGATTTTTGCAGGTTTGTACAGAGATTCTCAAAAATATGCGCAATGGATCGCTCGGGAGCTGCGCTCAATCGCAGATTGATTCATTTGTGGCCAAATGTCGCCAACGGTTCCCACATGCAGAAGCTTTCAAATCCGCGCAGGAAATCAAAGCGCAGCAACAAGCTCAGACCAATCACGGGATGGAGCAGGAAATCAACTGATTTACTGCGTAAGGGTGGGTAGTTCAACAAGCTTTCAGGATGGCGTTTTTGTGTTATGACTCACCTTATATTTCAATGAAAAAATTATGAAGTGTGGTTTTAGAGCAGGTTTTTTTTCACATAGTTTGGATTTTTTATACCCCCCAAGTTGTTTTGAAAAATAAAGTTGTGTGGAACATTAATCAACATTTACTTTTTCGGCTCAATGTTCTATGGGTCGTAACGTATGGACATTTTACGTAACATTTTGTCACACATTGAACCGGAGAAAAAAGAAATACATGTATATATATCCAAAACTATGAGTTTTTTTGGCATTTATAGTTGTTTCAGATGAATTTTTTACATGATCTTAAATAAGAAATTGAGTTTTGAGAAATTGATGTTTTCTGGCCATAGCTCAAAAACGCCTGTGTTGTTAGATTATTGGTGAGGTTTTTGATGTAAAAAAATAAATTATCTGGATTTAAACTACTCTCGAATTGCCTTCCATCAATGGTTGGGTTGATTGACTTTTAAATTCCTTTATTAGTTTAAATGACTGAACTTAACGTAGTTTAAATCAATTTTTAATTTTTTTGAAACAATATTCAGTGGGAAGCACACTTTCAACATAAATAGTGTAGCGAGCGACTCAATCATTGAAACAGGCAACGCGAGTGCAATATCTAATGGACATTAAGTTTTAATTTGACGCCATGCATCTCCAAAATTTCAACAGACTGAAAATAGCCACTGTTGAATAATAGCTAGTGTTGCTAGTGAACTAAAGAAAGTGTGAAAGCGTGCGTGGATCAGTTAGTTATAACGTGGCTCGTTTAACCATTAATTCTATATTGTAGTGTTTTGATAATTCGGAAAATTATAACTTATGAAACATCCCCAGAGGATATTACTGTGAAAGCTACGATCTTTAATTGAAATTTTATTATTTTATTGTATTGAACATGTTAACATACTTTACGCCCTCTGGTAATGAGAACAGTTTTTGCAAATTACAAAGTAAACTTTTTGTTTTGCAAAACAATAATTATTTAATTCAGGTACTGTCAACCCTCTGGTAATGAGAATAGTTTTTGAAGATTACAAAGTAAACTTTTTGTTTTGCACAACAATAATTATTTAATTCAGGTACTGTCAACCCTCTGGTAATGAGAATAGTTTTTGTAAATTACAAAGTAAACTTTTTGTTTTGCAAAACAATAATGATATGAATTAATTCAGGCACTGTCAACGTCTGTTAACGATAATCGTTGAAGGTATTCAATTATATACTTTTGTCGTTTATACATGTACCAATTGTTTGCGTTTCTATTTGTATAAAAGTTGTTTAAAATGAGACTTCGACGCTTGGCCGACTATCTTTGACTAGGGTCGAAGTCAAATAAATAAATCAGTGATTTGTATTAATGGGTTTTTATTGTAGATTATCCCTATTTAGGAATTTCCGAATTGAATTTCAGCTTGTTTTCTACGGGAACGTTGACAAAAACCCTTATCGGAGTAAAAATGAGTTCTGAATCCAAACTCCCCACTGCGTCCGCTAGTTAGCGCACCATAATTTTCAAATGGGAAAACAGGAACGTCAAATTCGGGCGTCGGGACGTCTTTTCAGTCTAAATCCGACGCCAGTTTCGAGTGAATCTAATTTCGTTCGCAGCGTGGAAACTACGGAGAAAAATCGCGTGATCGACATACTTTTTTACCGGTGCAAAGGTTTTCCTTTGTAGAAACAAGTTCGGTAGTGAATTAACCGGGGTTTTAGTGGATATTCCTGCTGGAATAATTAGGATCTCACAGTGCAGGATTTGCCAGTAAACATAGGTCTGTATAGTGGGTATTTTTGGCAATTACTTTCAAATCTTTAATTGCGTTATGAGTTGGAAGTTAATTGAAATATGTGTGGGCAGACCAGAATCTTACAATTTTGTCATGTTTTCCAAACTTATATCGTCGTCTGGTGCGATTAACTCAATCTCAGTTGCAACGATCCGTTTTTTGTTCAATTTTATTCTCAGTGTTCTTATTAGCAATATTTTTTAGTTGTTGGAAATATTTTTGCAGCTTTAGCTGCAGTTTAGAATTTTAAAGCGTTAAAGCATTATTGTTAACTTTTCCACTGTTTGAATATTTGTTCATTAAAGTTGTGGCTTTTTCATTTCATTTCAAATGTCGCTTTAAAGTTTTTCATTATGATGATCACATGAGAATTTTTGTCTTCAATAGCAACAAAAATTTCGCCTGCTTTCGATATTCGCTTTCTCGTCCATAAACATGCTGCTGCAATATGAAAATCTGCATTTGCCACATTAGTAATTTCCTTGGTAATTTTACACTATTTTGCCATGAAATTCTTCTGCTGATTGAGAACAAGCACAACCAATTTTTTTTGAAAATTATCTTGCAATGCATCTGTGCAAATTCTTGATTTTATCATTCCTATTTGAACTGGGTTAAAAACAGTACAAAAATTGTCCTAAGACCCAGGAAAATCATATGCGAGTGCTTTAAACTATTCGAAATGCGTTCCGCATGCAATCAAAATGTAAATACTACAATCGAAATTCAACTAGAAAACGGAAATTCTAAATATAAAGTTGTTGATCAGCTGATTTATTCAGAGAATGTTATTTTTAACGGGGGACTTATGTCCGACACCTTTCTACGTGTGCTTTTCCATATTTCCGAGTTAAGGAGCCCGCATCTACGTTTCATATACTCTTACGTATATTTTGTGTAATTTTAAAACATGATGCGGCTTTTGTTCCGCTTGCAAGCAGCACAAACCAGCTAAAAAGTTTCAAAAGTCTCGCGTTAGATCAGTTTTATTTCATTGTTTGTAATTTCAAAATTTACTTAAAAACTCGGTGACTTTAAATACTACAAGTATTTATCTGAACGCCTGCAAACAAATCTTGCTTTATTTAATTACAACTCTGCTCACTTTTAGGCTTTTATCTGTGTTTTCTTTCCAAGTCCATTTTGCAATTTTTTCAAAACCGATTCTTTGAAACCTTGTGCAAATTAATATTTTTCCGAGTTCCTCGTCAGTTATTCGCTCAAATTAGGCGTTCGAACGGGTCGATCAAGTGGCAAATTGGATTGAAGTAAAACATTGAAGCTTAGCGGCAAGGTGAAAAAGGCGAATGTTTTCCCACATGGAAAATACAAGAATTAAGTAAATTGTGAGAAAATCGATTGAGGGAGACTTAGTGGAGCTCGGCGACTTCAGGGTCGTTGAAAATAATGAGACGTCGCTCGTTTGTCGCAATCGTAACGGTTTTTGGCTTTTACTCTGTGATTTAGTAGTTTTCTTGGTTTCTCGATAATTTTTTATTGTCCCTCCTACTGTTCTCTGCTGGTATAATAACTGAATTTTTCGGTTTAATTAATGTTTTCGCATAATATTTCGAATTGTGCCTGCGGTGATGGAAAAGCTCTTTATTGCTACCGGTTAACGAGTTCTGTCCACAGCGTTAAATCGAGTTAAACGACGTTTGCTATTTGACGCAGAACCGTAACTTTGGATTAAAAGCTTCATCTGGCGCGATGAGGAAATATTATTTATCTAGATAGTAGACTCTAATGATCTCAAACGGCTGAAGTTCTCCAATAAAAGCAGCTTTTTGGATTTATCGGTAAGATCTCGGAGTTTTTATTGCGACGCTTAATTGCCTAAGAGCGCAGAATGCTATTAAAAACTTAGGCTCCTAGGGCGTAAAATTACGCTCAGATTTTATTCTCTGTACCCTTTTCGGGGGAATTGGCATTAAAGCGCGCCCCGAATTTCAAATTATTCCAAAAGCTCCATGCAATATTCATGAGATTATTTAAAGTTGGAACGTGTGGGCATTTACACTTTTTATTTGCCCGGATCTGATACGAATAGAGCAAAAACGGAATGACGGTTACTCGAATTATCCTCTAAAAGCATATCGTTATAACATTTCGCACGGAAATTATTCGATTTCCTTCCCTTGCTGGCTTAACTTTGGATTGTTCAGCCGGTAGTTCAGAGCAGTTTTGTTTGTTTGCTAAAGTTTATAATTCTTCAGCCAAACTTCAACCTCTTTGATCGCAAATATTTGCCCTTTTATAAGAGATTCGCGACTTTTTGCACAAGACAATCCAGAATGAGGACTTAGAGTTTCTGAAAGCATAGAAAGAAGTAAGGAAATTGTTTCGTTTTCTCTGAAAAAAAAAACGACAGGAAGTCAAACACGAAAACACGTTTGAACTATTTATTGAAAAATGATGCAGAAAAATTTGCCAAAAATCAAAAGAAAAAAACGTCATAATCATTGGAAAACAACTGGATGACACCAATTGGTTTTCGAGCAAAAACACTAGAAAAAGCGCGTTGAAAAGTAACTCTTTTACCTCAAATGATACTTTAAGAGATGAAGCAGCAAAGAAAGATTGAAAAGAACAGAAGGGCAAAAAGACACGAGGCAGAAGAACAACGAGAAGCGACAAACAACAGCTAGTTGGGAAATAAGAAGGGAAGTGCAAGAAAAAAGAGTTGACAAGATGCAAATAGAACCCTACCAGCATGAACAGGCAGCAAATCAAAGAAAGTTAATTCATTCTTTATAGGAACTTGGAAAGGAAAGAAGCTGAAAAATGACAGTAAAAGCAGAAGAAAATGGGAAATCTGGGATGATCACACATGGAGACAGTAGACATAAAGTTGTATAAAAACGGAATATTAGCCAGAACTTCTAAAACAAGAAATATAATGAAAACATTGAAAACAACACAGATTTTTGCTTTTAAATTTACAAAACAGAGACAAGGTTTTCAATCAGCAATCTAAGAAATGATGTGATCCAGAACAGGGTCTATAGCAAAATGAAACATCGACTTTCATCCAAAGCTTAACCAAGGAAAATCAAATCCAGCATCAATAATAAACATCCCGACTATAATAAATGGTCCATTAGAATCGACGCAAAAAGCGTGAAATGTCAATTTAATGGTGGTAACGAAAATATTTTTGTGGATCTGGACAGGTGAAATATGGATTTAACACAAATAATTGTTTTCGCGTTCTACGGGAACAATTTGAAATGCCGGTTTTCCCTTTTATTCTTTTCCATTTGGATCTGCGATTTATGATCAGTGGCCTGACAAAATGTGTATAATAATTTCCATCAATAAATATTAATTGGCCGATTTATCGTTCCAATATTGACTATTTCGAATTTTATACGAATTTGTAATTTATTTTTTCTGACCAGATATTGGCTCGGATTCAGTATTGCATCTCCATTCGTTTTTTAGCTGCTTTTTATCACAAGATTCCAATTAGATTTTCCCACATTAACTAGAAAACGTTGTTTTTTGCAGGTTCCTTTCAGGCTTTGCAGCAAGTCATGTCACAATGCGCTTGTGTTAAAATGAAGAAAAAACCGGTCATCAATGAAGACGAAGAACTATCGGATAGCTCGAAGTCGGAGATGATGGCCGCTACTCCCTGCCTGAAAGCAAAACCAAAACCCAAAAGAAGATTGAGCTTCAAAATCGCCGATTTTCGCAGGATTATTCCCGATCGAATACTGCAATGTTTCGGGCAGGATGAGCTGGAAATGACCAAGCTGGAAAAGAGTAAGTGACTTGGGGGAAAAAATAGAAACTTTTTATTAAGTGCAGTTTAAGCCGAGATAAATCAACTTCAATTTACAGTCCTTTAGCTGCTTAAAGGTTCGATATTTTAAGCAAACACTTCAGGGGAAATTTATGATTACCTTTCATGAATATCGAGGAAATACTTGATCGATTTCCCCACGCTTCTAAGGTGGGCTTTTTTCGCTAATCCCCAAAAGGTCGTATTGATTCGAGGCGCAAACAATGCACAAGACTTTGCCCGGATTAGCTAAACATCCAGACATAATGGATTAGGTTGTCAACACTTTGGAAGGCGCCGAAAATTACATTTTCTCATATTTTTTCCTGCTAGAGGATTTCAGCTGACTTTAACATCTCCTGGGATTGAATGGAACTTTTCAGGAGGTCAAACAAAATAATAGCAAATAGATTTCGGCCTCTGAGCGCCCAGATTCCACAGATTCGACCAAAACTTAATAAGTATTCAAAGTGGAACGACTCTGGAATGAAGCCAGCATTTCAACGAGCCGCTTAAGCTGGGCCTTCAAAGACGCGGATGAGACAAATTGGATTATTCTGTTGGAGCAAAGCTGCAAATAAGATCCAACCGAATCAACGCTAAGAAGTTTACTTCCTTCTTTATTTAAATTACAAATTTTTCGATAAAATTTTCAAATTTCACTGTGATTTAGCAGTTATTTTTAACTCTTTCCGCATTGCAACGTTCGTGTTTTACATGCTGCGGTTTCCCTTAAATTAAGACCGTAGATCACTTACCTTTCGATTTTCCGATAGCGCAAAGTCAACATAAAAGGGCCGAAATAAAATTAATTGCTCCGTGGGCGATTCAAAGCTAAAACAAGAGATTGCAATCAGAAGCACCAATTGCAACGCGAATATTCAGTCGATTTTGTGGTTTTATTTATTTTTTATACTTTGTTATCACGCATTTTCGCTATTGCTGTGACGTGCAAATGAGTGAAATCGCGTAAAAAATTACTGCAGTTTATAGATTGAAAAATTTTAGATGTAAGCTAAATTTTTAAAGAAATCGTTTCAATAGATCAAACATTGAAAATCGCTGGTACACTTTTATGATGTCAATTTGTCCAATAATATTATTCTTTCGCATTAAACGAAGTACAAACCCGTTTTTTAGTAATAAATCCGTTATGGAAATCCATTCCAAATCTATATGTATTCCCGCTGAGCTGCACACATAAAACTCATACATTTTTCATGCGGCATTTTATTTTCATACAATACAGGCGAAAAAATGAAAAAAAATATTTTGTGCTCAAGCGTTTTGCGTAAAGTAACCGTAATAAACTTAAGTTAAGAGCACAAGAATTTGCTAGAATTTGAAAGAATGGATCAAGACCATCTGCCACCACACAGTGTTATTAAGAATATTTCCAAGTTCGAGTGGACCAAGGTGAAATCATCCCTGCGTGTGATAGAAGGAGAAACAGCGCTCGTGGCTCCGCCCCCTAACTGCTTCCTTCTCTTTTTATATCTCGCGTTTGCGTGTTGTGTTGCATCTTTTGCACAAAATGAGCAGCAGAGGTTTAATGAAAATGCTTCAATTTAAATATTCTCGAGCCAATACTATTTATAGTCCGGCGAAATGCTAAATTTAGTAAATTTTCACTCAAATTGTTTGGCAGATTTGCGACTAAACGAACAATCTGGGTCTATTATTAAATTTAGGCGACGACGACCTTAACAGTGATAAGTTTCCGTTTAAAGAAAGGCTGGAAAATCACATTCTGAAGCACTTTTTTGGTTTAGCCATTAAAGCGTCGCTGCTGATTCAGAAATGGTATCGCAGCTACATGGCCAGATTAGAAGTGCGAAGGCGATACACATGGACTATTTTCCAGACTTTGGAATATGCTGGTGAACAGGATCAAGTCAAGGTAGATAAAAGTTTGGACGCAGTGGAGGCACTGATCTGACTTGGAGGAATTTTCTTGTTCTAGCTCTACAATTTCTTCAATGCTCTTCTAACACATATTCCACAAACAGCAAATCGAGATGGTTACAACTCGAAAGGGGCCAGCAGAAGTTCCTCCTTTGGTAAGTCTAGTGTCTCCGGCCTACGGATGAAAACGCAATAATTACGGTTGCAGACAATTTGGACTTGGAGTTTGAAGATGAGTCTCCAGAGGAAGAATATTCGATCGACCAAGATGATAAGAAAGCTTTGAGGAATTTTGTGCTCGAGTATCCCTATACCGATGAGAAAATCACTGAGCTAATTGAAATTTTTCGGAAACACAGAGTAAGTAGTGAAGCAATTTATTCAGTCAATGGTCTAATTTGGATAAAGTTGCGCTCTTCCAATGGGTGATTATCGCAATTAATTTAATTTTAGCATTTTAGGTTGCCTCCTAAAGTGGTCGCTGATATCCTTAGAAGATCAGTTACAGCGCTTCGAAGATTGCCGAATATCAGTGTGGTTTCAACAGCACTTTCCAAGCAAATCACTGTTTGTGGCGATCTGCATGGGAAGTTTGATGATTTGCTCGTCATTTTACATAAGGTAAGTTCGAGTTTTTTGCAAGTTTAAGTTCATTAATCTTCTGGACAGTAAATCATCAGCTTCCGCTCATTTCCTTTGGGAGTGTGGTTGCATTTTGGAATTCGGATCAGGTTAGATTATTTTTTTTCGAAAACCGCTGGCTTGAATTAAATGAGATCCACACACGTAATGGTTTGTTTTGATGTTTTGCCAACATACACAGTTACATACACTGTTACAATATTGTGATTTGCGTTAAATACAGCAAAGTATTTACGAGCTTCCATTTAATGACAATGGAAAATACAATCGCTGTTACGGCTGTGTACGAAGTGGGCTGCGTGTCGTTTAATGATTGATTATTTTTAATAGCTTGCCTAATGGCGTTGCATGAACATTATCAGAAAACGCAACATTCCTCTTAAAATAAGTTATAATTTACGTATGTTGGTTGCAGTGAAGAGAAGTAGTTTCTGGCGTGATCAAGCTGTTAAAACAAAGCAATTTTCTTTAAAAGTTTGCGGTTTTATTTCGTCAGTAAAAGCACGGGAAAAGGAAATCCTTTTGGGGAGTGTCAATGAATTCTCCCGAGGAAATATCCGCTTGCCTCCATACTTTTCCCGTCAACAGCAGAGTGAAATTGAGCAATCAGTGTTCGGGTTTTACGACATGGAGGATTTTAAAAAAATGCACAAAAAATCAGCAACTCACGCGGTTGGATACAGCTGGGAATCTGTTTGTTTTAGGGCCAAATGACGCAACCAGTAGCTAATTTCTGGCTGAATTGAAATCAATAACTGATATTAATATCTACCTATTCGCGTTTATTTGCCCACTTTGCTGCTCGGTGTTTCCAAGCAGCACTTTAGACACTTCATTTCATTATACCCCAAACGACAGTTACTTTCACCAGCAAAGTGCTCTGGCATTATATTAAATTAGCGAGTTTTTCATTGTCGTTTTCAAGTTTCACCGCTTTAAGAAGCGTCTGTTCCCGCAATGTACAGGCTTTTAAAAAAGACAAAAAAAATTACACTCTACTAACAGCAGCGAAGATCATACAGACACGAAAAAACCACAAAATCCGATCGAACCCAGACAATCTCAGACTTTTCAGATGGGATTTTTTGGTGCGTCAACTTGAAAACAGATTAGCAAGGAGGGAAATAACAGCAACAAAAAACAAGCCTGCTTTGCTTCAATCCGGGTTTCTTCAAATAGACATTTGGTTCCGAGCGCGGTTGAACAAATAAATTGGCGAGATAAACGTAAAAAAATTGAAACTGACACTCGCTCAACAGGCAGATTATTATGCTAAAAAACAGTGCATTTTCGTGTTTAAAAATCGGGGTTTTTCAAATGTATTATGTCTTCTTCAGAAAAATCTGTGTCACATGCGTTTCAGTTAAAAAATTTGGAAAAATTTGAGTTTAGAAAATTCATTATAATGGAGAGCCAGATAATTCTGTCAGAAAAGCAGCCAACGAGTTTCTTCGTTTAAATTCGATTTTTCAATTGAACATAGTAGTGATTTAACAATTCCGCATAAAACGGGCTTCAATTAAAAAACTGAAGAACTCCACTCGCTCAAGATCAAGAGGATTCTGTCGCTAAAGACAACACATCTCATCGGTTCAAACCGATTTTCTTCAGTTATACATGATGGTAAACGAATAGTTCTGTGTAAGCCGCGCTTCCATTTGGAAAAAAGTGCAAAAAAATTGAAGAATGAAGAATTTTGCAAACCTTATTTGCTGAAGATACAGATTATTCTGCTTCCAAAGAAAATAGTATGTTTTTTCATTTAAAAAAAAATGACTGTTACTGGAAAAGCCCTGAAAAATTTTATACGAAAAATTTTCAGGGCTTCGGGAAGCGCACTTCAATTGTAAATTTGGGCAAAAAATGTAGAAAAATTTGAAGAGTGAAGAATGTTTCAATCTTCGTTCTCTCAAGATCCAGATTATTCAGTGTCTAAAAACAGCGCGTTTCTTCGTTTCAAACGAATTTTTTTCCAGTTATTGGAACATGATTTATCGAAAAGATAAATGTTATTCGAAAATTTTTGGCGCTTTGGAAAGCACACTTCAATTATTCTGTATCTAAAGAAAACAGCGCATTTCTTCGTTTCAAACCGATTTTCTTCAGTTAAACATGATTGCTATCGAAAAGTTCTGTGAAAGCTGTGCTTCCACTTCCGAAAAAATACAAAGTTAAAAAATGAAGAATTTTGCAAACCTCACTTGCTGAATATGCAGATTATTCTGTCTCCAAAGGAAACAGTGTTATTTCTGGGTTCAATCAAGTTTTTTCAGTTAATAAAATGATCGTTATTGAAAAGTTTTCTGCGAAAATTTTGAGCGTTTCAGAAAGCGCACTTGAATTGTAAATTTGGGCAAAAAATGTAGAAAAATTTGAAGAGTGAAGAATGTTTCAAACTTCGTTCTCTCAAGATCCAGATTATTCAGTGTCTAAAAACAGCGTGTTTCTTCGTTTCAAACGAATTTTTTTCCAGTTATTGGAATATGATTTATCGAAAAGATTTATGTAAGCTGTGCTTCCATTTGCCAAAAAACCTAAAAAACATTAAGGAATGAATAATTTTTCAAGATTTAGAGCGGTTTAGAAAGTGCACTTCAATTGTAAATTTGGGCAAAATATGCAGAAAATTTTAAGAGTGAAGAATATTGCAAACCCCATTCACTAAAGATGCAGATTATTCAGTATCTAAAAAAAACAGCGAGTTTCTTCGTTTTAAATCGATTTTCTTCAGTTAAACATGATTGTTATCGAAAAGTTATGTGTAAGCTGCGTTTCCGTTTTCGGAAAAAATGCAGAACATTTTCTAAGAGTGAAGAATGTTGCAAACTACACTCGCTCAAGATGCAGATTATTCTGTATCTAAAGAAAACAGCGCATTTCTTCGTTTCAAACCGATTTTCTTCAGAAACGTTAAACATGATTGTTATCGAAAATTTATGTGTAAGCTGCGTCTCCAATTGGGGAAAAAATGGAAAAATGTAAGAATGAATAATTTTACTAACCTTATTTGCTGAAGATGCAGATTATTCTGCCTCCAAAGAAACCAGCACGTGTTTTTGGTTTCAAACCTGTTTTTTTAGTTAACAAGATGATCGATATTGAAAAATTGTATGCGAAAATTTTCAACGCTTCAGAAAGCGCACTTCAATTGTAAATTTAAGCAAAAATGCAGACACTTTTCTAAGAGTGAAGAATGTTGCTAATTACACTCGCTCAAGATGCTGATTATTCTGTCTAAAAAAACAGCTTGTTTCTTCGTTTCAAACCGTTTTCCTTCAATTAAACATAATCCTTATTGAAAAATTATGTGTAAAGCGCGTTTCATTTGATCAATTCGAGCAAAAAATGCAAAAAATTAAATAATTTTGCTCTACTTGTACAAAATGCAAATTTGTTTCATAGATGAAGAAAACAGCGCGTTTTTTTATTTGAAGCTGATTATTTTCACTTAAAGATGATTGTCATTGCACGTTTTGTATAAAGAACAATTTGTGAATAAATTTGAAAGAAAAAAATTTGATACAAAGTGAAAAATTTTGCATTTTCAAATGCTGAAGATGCAGATGAATCGGTTTCTCGCGTTTTTTTGCTTCAAAACGCTTTTCGTGAATATCAAGCGCGCTTCAATTAAATTAAATTACCTCATTTTTTTGGATTGCTCTAAGAACATTACTTGCCTAAATAAAGGAAACTTTTGTTCCTTTATTTTTTTTATTATGATCCATTGCACCTTTCTGCTGAATCAAGCATTGTGCTGTGACGGGCCATTTATTTTCTGAATTGTCCGTATTTTATCTGGTTGTGCTTTGGGCTGCGACAGGAAACTATTAGAAGCGTTTTTGCATTTGTTCCAGAATGGGCTTCCATCAGCGGAAAATCCTTACGTTTTCAACGGCGACTTTGTCGATCGAGGCAAACGGGGCTTAGAAGTGATCGTCGTTTTGCTATTGTGTCTGATCGCCTTTCCTGGCGGTGTCTACTTGAATCGAGGAAATCATGAGGATCACATTATGAATCAAAGGTAAAGAACGTCCCATTCCCGATTCCCGAAATGGGTTTCCATGTATGGAGCTAGCGAAAATCAACCCTGAGTTTCAATATCCAAAGCTTCAAAAAGACAGGAAGAAAACTCCTTAAAAACTGGAAAATTGGAAAAACCAAATAGTAGTAAGTGACCACCGCGTATGGTGGATAAAACAAGCATTCTTTAAACAATAACAGGTCTGAAGAATGAATATATTGAGTGAACTTATAAACTAGATTTGAGGAAATAGAATTGTAGGTTTTTTTACTTGTCCTTCCAGATATGGTTTTATACGGGAAGTGCAGTCTAAATACAGGGTAAGTTCCAATAAACTGTATAGTTAAGATAATTCTACTAGGTAGCTATTATTTGGTCAAACATTTGCTTCGAGGGCAGATCGAGTAGCTTTAACACTCTCGTACGATAAGGGCCTTTTATCTCACGCATTTCAGTGCGTCAATTTGATAATCTAAACTCGGCGTCCACCAAATTGTGTCTTCTACTAGAGATCGCAAGCAAAGTTCTATCAAAAAAAGTACATGTTTCCCCTATTCCAATATATCAGCCCAGTAAAGCTGTTATCCCGTCGGCGTCGTAAATATCCATTACCTCATATCGTTGGAAACCGTATTATATGTCAAAGTAAAGCTTGTTATGTAATTTCCCCGACCTTAAAGTTGAACCCCGAAGCCCATCGCTGACTCTAAATGGCCATTAGGCTGATTTATTTACCGAAGAAAATGAAGTTCGGCATTTTCCATTTCCTAATCTCTTCAAGTAAGTGGCTAATTAAAGCCGAAGGCGATACTAAGTGGAAAATTCTTGATGTGTACGAGCTAATCGAATTGCCAGGCTTTCGGGCCTTTTGTGCCTCCCCTGAATTAAACGCTTTATTGAAACCCAATTAAGTGGCTCCATTTGAGCCAATTAGCGTAATTGGTGACGGTGCTTCCGTCTTGTGTTTTTTGGTCCCAGTCGAAAATTAGAGCAAAAAGAGTTTTGACTGCTCGAAAAAAGTTCGTTAATAATTGTGAGCTGCAGTGCTGCCGCGAACCTGGAAAACAGTAGGAGTTTCCAGTGCTCCGGCCGCTGTAACATCGCTAAAATAAAAGTGAGCTTAATGGAGAAAAGTTTGGCATTCAACATCAATCATCTTCATGGTAAATCATCTATAAACAACTCAAAACAACCTGACCAGATTAGGAACTTTTACATTACACGCCTGTATCCAGTAGCGCTAAAACCATTATCTGTCGCAACTTTGCCGGCTTATTTACACAATGAACTTAATCGCATCGGAAATATCCGGAAAATTAAAACTTTAAAGCGGAATTAATCACCGATATGGCCAAAATTTGAATTTTCACTCCCTTGATTGTCAAGCTCGTTACTCTGATCGATTGCATCTATTGTTTGGCATGGTTTTCAGGAAGCGAAATTTTTTGCAGAAAAATCACGAGCGGATTTTGAAACTTTTTGAAAGCGTCTACCGGTGGCTGCCTTTGGGGACCATCGTCAATAACCGTGTGTTGATAGTGCATGGAGGAATTTCGGACACAACCGATCTGGAAATGATTCGGAGTCTGGAGAGGGAAAAGGTAACAAACTCAATTGATTGGTTGCAAGGATTTCATTTATTCCAACCACGGGAAAATTTGGGTAAATGAACAATGGAAAACGATTCCATTGTTCAATTAGCGTCCGGATTTGTCGGCGATATTTGATTATTAATTTCGATTTCAGTATGTTTCACTTTTGAGGCCTCCGCTTTGTGACAGTTCGGCACCGGGTGCGGACGCTATCAATAAAGTTGAATGGAAACAGGTGAGTTGCCCTACATCTATCATCTTCTAATAAATTAAGTTTCGGCAAATAAACATCCAACTTTTGCCAACATTATTCGCTCATTGAAAGACACGCTAGTCGAGAATATTTTCATTTTTCAATTAGCAAAATTAGTTTCTCCGCATGTTTGTAATGGCTTGTTGGCATTTATTTTGTTGGTTTTTCTTAATGCATTTCTTATTATTAATGCTCACTTGGAATGGGCATTTTTTATTTAAATTGACTAAATTCCCAAGTTCAAATTTGCATTATTTGCACTCTTTCATTCTTCGCTCTACCGTGATTTTGCTGAAGCAATTAATTTTATTCTGAATTGAGTTCTTTCCATGTTGTCAATTTTGCTCATTTCATTTTCAAACTTTTTAATTTGATCCATGCCTTCACGGCCTGTTTGTTCCTGTGCGACTATTAATTAATGCACTAATTGTATTTTGCCCAATTAATCCCTTAGTTAAATCAGCAGTTGTCTTATTGATCTGCTTTTTAGGACTTCAATTTAGTTGTTTCCAGTACGTTTGTTTGCCTCAAATTCTTTTCGCGTATTTTGGGCTGTTTAAATGAGAGGCTGCAGTTGAACAATATTATCCATTTTCAAACCGGTATTTTCTAAGCTGGAAAAATTTATATTCCCAGCATTTTCGTAAAACTTCGCACATAATTAGGGTCAAGTGCATGTTCAACACGGTGCAAAGTTGAAGATGCTACTTGAATTCCGGTCAAAGTAACAGCATTTTAAATGTGAGAGTGCAGTTGTAGAAAACCATCGGTTTTGAAACCTAAATTTGCTAAATTGGCAAAAGTCAGGATTTTGGGCGAAACCAAATAGCTAATTAGGGGCAAGTTTGCCTATAACTTATGTAAAATTCGAGTCGGTACTAGCTTGAGAGTGCAGTTGAAGAAAGCCATCCATTGCTTACCTGGAAAAAATCAGGATTTTAATTAATTCCAAATTTCTAAAGAAATAAAAATAAATTTATGAATAACGCGAAGTTGCACAGGTTCGTTCCTTAATGAATTCCAGCCAAACTGAATGTTTACAACCCCACAAAGAGGAATAGAGCGGTTATCCATTTGCGTTTTCTCCACTGTTCGTATTCTGCAACGAAGCGTTTCGTTCCAGCACGTGGGAACATTTGCATATTTAACAGCACGACTTCGTCAAGGGATTCTCAGTTTGCCGAAATTTGAGGTCTTTAATTATGGCCGCCTTAAAAGGATTAGCAAAGTTTTGGCTCAATGTACAATCGGATCTACCACCAAAACCTTTAATACTGCCGCCAGAATTAATTAATTAATTGTGCTGTGGTGTTTCATCCTCTATGCTCAATCAATGTATTGAGCTTCTCTGACAAAAATCAACTAATTTTTTTGAAACTTGAGCTTTCAATAGGTCGAGAATTTCTCTTTTTTCAAAAGTGTTCTTATTACTTTGAGTGACGAGTTAAAGGTGAGGTTTTATTGCAAAAACCAAATTGCCCCTTAAATAAAAAAAATAAAAATCAGTTTAAGGGAACAAAGAATATGGGATTGTACCACTTTAAGAAACTGCAAATATTGCTGTTCTATTCCGAAGCTGGAGTCATCAAGAAATCTCCAATTCATAGCTTTCAATAGGGCAACATTAAGAAAAATCCCACATGTTTCCAGCTGTTGTGAAAATGGGCGTTTTTGCTCAGGCGCACTCTCTTCTTTAAAAATTCGCGTGCCAGAAACGAAAGCAGCTAGGGACTTCACATTTTCACGAAGTTTAGAAGACACATAATGCTAAGACTTGTTAAAGATTTATAAAAATCACAAAAATGGGAAATTTTTTCCAGCTTGGCAAATATCGGTCTCAACATGAATGATCTTACCCAACCGCGTTCTCTTCCGTAAAAAATTGCGGCGTCGAAACTAAAGCAAGTAGGAACTTGAAAGTTTCACCATCGGTAGAAGACAGCCCGTGCTAAGATTGCCTAAAGTTTCATAAAAAAATGTTTACATGTCAGGTGTTTTCCACCTTCGCAAACATTGGTCTCAACATGGATGATCTTACCCAACCGCGTTCTCATCCGTAAAAAAATGCGACGTGGAAACTAAAGCAAGTTGGAACTTGAAATTTTCACCATCAGTGGAAGACAGCTCGTGCTAATACTGCTCAAAGTTTCATAAAAAAATGTCCACATCTCAGATTTTATTTCCACCTTGGCAAATATTGGTCTCAACATGGATGATTTTACCGAATCGCGTTCTCTTTCGTAAAAAATTGCGGCGTGGAAACTAAAGCAAGTAGAAACTTGAAATTTTCACCATCAGTAGAAGACAGCTCGTGCTAATATTGCTCAAAGTTTCATAAAAAAATGTCCACATGTCAGATTTTTTCCACATTGGCAAATATTGGTCTCAACATGGATGATTTTACCGAATCGCGTTCTCTTTCGTAAAAAATTGCGGCGTGGAAACTAAAGCAAGTAGAAACTTGAAATTTTCACCATCAGTAGAAGACAGCTCGTGCTAATATTGCTCAAAGTTTGATAAAAAATGTCCACATGTCAGATTTTATTTCCACTTTGGCAAATATTGGTCTCAACATGGATGATCTGAACCAACCGCGTTCTCTTCCGTAAAAAATTGCGGCGTCGAAACTAAAGCAAGTAGGAACTTGAACTTTTCACCATCAGTAGAAGACAGCTCATGCTAAGACTGCTAAAAGTTTTATTAAAAATTGCGAACATTCCAGACTATTTCCAGCTTGGCAAATATTGATCTCAAAATTGATTTTCATACCCAACCGCTCTGTCTCCCTTAAAAATTCGCTTTTCCAAACTAAAGCAAGTTGCTATATTAAATTTTCACTATATTTAGAAAGCACTTAATGTAAAAAATGCTTAGAGTTTTATAAAAATCGCGTATGTGCCAGATTTTTTCCATCTTGGCAAATATCGGAGTTTAAATGGATCTACGTACCCAAGTGTGCTCGCTCCTTTAAACATTTGCGTCGTTCAAACTAAAGCATGTAGAAACTAGAAATTTTCACCATATTTAGATGAAATTTGATGGTAATAATGCTGAAGTTTCGCAAAAATTGCCAGAGCGTAATTTTTTTTCCACCTTTACGAATGTTGCTCTCAAACTGGATCTTCCAACACAAGTGCGCTCTCATCTTTAAAAATGTATTCCGCGCAAACTAAAGCATGTTGACATTTTCACTATCTTTAGACGACACTCGATGTAAAAAAAAATTCTTAGAGTTTTACAAAAATCGCCCGTGTGCCAGATTTTGTCCATCTTGGCAATATCGGTGGTAAAATGCCTCTTCGTACTCAGTGTGCTCTCTTTTTTTTTAAATTTGTTCCGCTCAAACTAAAGCTTGTAAAAAGTTGAAATTTTTAGACGACATTTGATGTACAAATATTTAAAGTTTCATAAATTTTAAAGATTGCCCAAATGCCAGATTTTTTCCAGCTGGACAAATTTCGTCTCAAACTGGATCTTCTTAGCCACGTTTCTCCTCTCTCTTAAAAAATCCACTCAATTTGATCAAGGTCTCCATTTATCTGACTGAACTGTATTGTTCGTAGGTGTTTGATATTTTGTGGTCAGATCCCCAAGAAACCAAAGGATGCATCCCCAACGCCTTAAGGGGAGCAGGCACGTACTTCGGTCCGGACGTTACCAAGAAATTTCTGGAAGAAAATCGACTTTCCTATGTGGTGAGATCGCACGAATGTAAAGCTGATGGATACGAAATGTGCCACGACAACCTAGTGAGTAAAAAAATCAGCTAACGAATCTAAGGGGGTTTATCCAGAGGTTTGTTTAAGATAATAACGATTTTCTCTGCATCCAACTACTACGAAATCGGCTCGAATAATGGGGCTTATGTAAAGCTGATGGGGCCCAATTTAGAGCCACATTTCGTTCAATACATGGCCAATGCGGGCAGAAGAAAACTGAATTTCTATCAGCGAATGGGGCTGGTTGAATCGGGCGCTACCAAAGAGTTGCAAGCCCAAATCCTCAATAACCGGTTCGTTATTGAGGAGGAGTTTCACAATTTAGATCCAGAAAATACTGGTAAATTTGCGTTTGGAGCGGAAGTTTCTTTGTAAATGTCCTGAACACTTTTAGGATATATCACGGTTACACAATGGTGCATAACTCTGGAAAAATGCACTGGACTGCAAATCCCCTGGCGACTGCTGAAGGACAAGCTAGTAACCATCGATCCTGATACCAAGTTGGTTCAATATCAAACCACATTTGTAGATGTTAAAAGCGCCCGATTAAATGTACGTTTAAAAGTTTTTTGAGGGTTTTTTTGATGATTTTCCGGGGTTTTTCAGAGCGTGCAAGGAGCTAGCACAGTGGTCGAGACGTTGTATAGAAATAAAAGCAGTTTGGAGGCCATTTTTCGCATTATCGACAAAGACAATTCAGGTAGGAAATTATAAAAAACACATTTTGTTGGGTTTGGTGGCTTTTTAGCTTGGATTTTATTTGTTGTTTGGGCTTTACTAGCTGTGATTTTTAAGTGAGTTCTTGATCAAAAAGTTTCCTAATTTGGCTTGAATGTTCTAGTGAATGATATGGCATTGAAAGCATATAAAATCTTCCCAACATTGTACAAAAAATGTAATTGGACTGAGACAATCAACTTGACTTGCGGCTCTCTTTTGTCGAATTTCTCGAGCATTTTAAGTTGGCGATTTGAGCTCCCCAGACACTCAACAAAACCTTGGCTGACACTTTTGCAGTCCTATTTTGGACCCCCGTATTATTAACCTTTCATTATATTGCAGGTTACATAAGTTTAGACGAACTGGCCGAAGCATGCAACCTTATCAAAGAACACATGCCGTGCAACATGACCGAGGACCAACTCTCGGAAATATGTCGAATGATGGACATCAACAAAGACGGCCTAGTGGACTTGAACGAATTCCTCGAAACCTTCCGAATGGTGGACCCGGAAAGTAAACGAAAAAATATGCCAACCAGTCCGGATAACAGCATGTGGACGAATGGGGCAAACAGCAGAAGCCCGCGACGAAGTCCCAAAGAGCGAAAGGAACAAAAGCAGCATCAACTAGCTGATAAGCAGGCAGCTGGAAAGGCGAATATTTTTGTGGAAGCGTCCAATGCTATTTCCGTGGAAATTTCGGAACCCACAACGACCGAATCCAACGAACACAGTCCGGAAAAAAAGGACTGTCAAGGGGAAGCAATTTCCTTGAGGGTGCAGGTGCATAATTTCAACTCGCCTGCTGATGGTGCGGAAACAAGGGATGGCAGCCTTATGCCGGTACATCAAAACGGGTTGAAAACTTCTCCGGTGCTGAGCAGCAGAAGAGGATCTCTGATCTAAGTTGGCATGTTTTGCTGCAGCTCAAGAGCAACTATTCCGTTCACTGATTTGATTGCAGTATTTTGTCTTGTAGAGCTAATCGATTTAACTTCGTGTGCTCAACTCAAGGATTTCTTCGCTAATGTCTTCTCTATGTTCCTGCTGTGTTTTCCTTCTGTCTTGTTTTTACTGCCAACTCTTTTATTCACTACGGTTGTTCTCTTCTGTCCTCGGCAAGTGAATTAGGGATGTTTTTTTTAAAACCAAATCCTCTTTTAATGTTGCAAGTTGAGTTCAAAACGGTTTTCCGTGACGTGAATGAAAAGGCCGTTCAACAAGTGTGTTTTGAAAAACTACTGTTAAGATTGCGACTTTTTAGTCACTAAAATATCCCTTCCAGCGAGTCACACCAATTTAGACCCCCACTGGACGATTATTTCATAAGAAACATCTCGTTCTAAAAATACGCTTAAAGATTCTTCCCTAATTAAGGTACAACTTAAAATAAGATAATTTAGTTAAAGCTACGTTTATTTACCAAGAAATCGTATCGTATGAAACTGCCATGTTTTCTAGCGTTAGCTGGGTCGTTTTTGCTGCAAAAGATGTTGGAAAAGGTGCCGCTTTGATCAAAGGTCGGATTTAGGTAAAGTATTGGCCACTAGGGGAACAATTTTCTAGAAAGAGTTTTTTGAAGAATCTAATGAAAGAAAGTGAAATTAAAGTGGACATACATGAGAACTGGAGGTTCTGTGAGAACCAGTCACCAGCTACGAACTTTCGTGTGAATTTGTCAGTTTTTTTTTTAATTTTGTTTTACATGCGACATTTGAACATTTTGTGGAGTAAATTGGCTCGGCCTTTCACTAAGGAGAACCTTCCTCCAAAGAGAATAGAGTTTTTCCAGCCCAAGTAAGTCGGCCAATAAAAATGTTGTTAAACATCGCCGACTCTTTATTAGGTAAAAAAACCTTTGGCAGCAGAATTTAGGTAAATTTTCCAAAATGGAAATGTACACGAACTCCTGATTGACCAGGTGCTTTTTGCAAAGTTCTCGCTCCTTTTTGGCGGGTGGAAACTATACATTAGTACGCCGAAATTTGCCGAAAAAAATACGTTTTTATTGAAACTGGTAGAGATAGAAATTTGCAACTTTTACCAAAAAATAGAGCAAGATTTCTGCGACAGATTTAAAAGTTTTAAACAATTTACCCTCTTCAGGGCATTTTTGTGCGCAGCCCGTAAAAACGTGCAAGTTTTTCTTTACAAAAATCTCTCTTCTAAACAAATCAACGTACTGCCTTGGCGACATCGGCGTTGAAACAAGAACAGTTTTCAGACCGAAAATTTTTTGGAATTGCTATCACAAAGAGGAAAGTTTGGAGGAATTTTTAAATGTTGGAATGTTTGCTCAAAATTAAAATAAAATAGGAAATTTCAGTTCTTGCGATGATTTTGATGTTCCAAACTCGGAGTAGCAATTTGGTTGCTGTTTCAAACAATCAGCGCAGCAAACGGCTCGAAGTTTCCAAATAAAAAAATGCTTGCAAACGAAAAACTCTATTTTCCATAGCCCTCTTCGGCTAAACCCTTCGAAAGCAATACACAAATTCAATTACCTAAATATATACAGTATTTATACTGCTTCGTAGAGCGAGGCTTTTGGGGGCAACATTTACGTGATAGGAAAAGAGGCAGCCCCCAATAGCCGGTGAGTAGGCATTTTTTCGAAATAGAATAGATTAGGCCTGAAATTTATCTTCTTATAAACAGTCATATTTTATATATAGATATATTTACCAATTGAAGTCCGTTAAGGTTTTGTTGAAAATCAAATAAATATATATATATTAATGCCCTTTTGATGTTAGCGCATGCATAATATTGAAACTATATCACTATTTGAGAAATAATATCACTAACCATATGAGATTCTATTCGATATTATGCTTCTTAGAGTTTAAGACAAATTATTCAAAATGTAATTAATTGAGCGCAGTGGACAGAGCCGTGAATCGTTTATCGTTTAACCGTTAATAGGAAATCGAAATCCTCAGGGAAGATAAGGGAATGTTTTATCCACTGAGCTGGTAAGGACCAATCTCTATGTGTACATATTGGACCAAAACAATTTTTGTGAGCAACATGTCCTTCCAAGTCTATTTTTTTGAGAGATTAGTATTTATTGTGCCGTTTTTTATACTAACCATTAGGTTTAGTTCCTATTTAGTTGATCTATTGACTGTGTTACTTGTACATTTGTTTTTTAGTCTAAAAGTATATTTTGTACTGGCTTATGGTTGCGATGTGTCTGGTGAACAATTGTAATGTTGAAACTACAGTTACAAGTAAAGGAAAAACATTCTTGAACGGTTTTTCATATTTATTTTAACCGGTTGGCAGTAATTGAGGGGTTTGATTGGTCGATTAGCCGAACCACTCTGTCGTAAAGAAGACTTTTTGCGTCCTTAGCAGTGACGAAGTCCAAATGGTTAAAAAAATCGTAGTCAATTAAATATGTTTCTAGAGTGTCGTGGCTTAGCTGCGCAAGAAACCTTTCGACGTCCTGGAAAAAAAAATTACATATCCACGCTAGAAAGATCATTTTTGGCAACTTACAGTAACGGTAGCCAGGAAATCATTTTTTGCGTAATACACTCCAAGGGGAGCTTTAAGGTTCTTAAAGTCATAAGAGGGTGGCTGAGCTGTTTTGTAATGTAGCAAATTGGCCAAGTCGCTTCCGAAATCAAATTGCCGAAATTCGCCTGCAAAAAAAATTCAATTTCTATCCAGTTTGCCAAGAAAGTCTGGAATCAGCACCTGAGTAAACCAGCTGTATGAAATGCTCCATGTCCTTAATAGAAATCCCGTTCGGGGTGTTTGAAAGATACACAGCCAATTTGGACTAAGATGGGAAAAATGTGGAGTAAAATTGATGTGTTTTTGAAAAACTTCTTACTCGATCCACTTGGTTGTAGTCGAATCCAGCAAATAACTGGATCAAAAATATGCAGAATCCTTGAAGTGAGCTGTCCTCGTTACATATTGTTTCTGCCAGGATATTAATGGCTGGTGTGTATGGAATTCCGTGCACATTAAGCACAGTTGATGCTGCCTAGAAGAGGAGATGAGCTTTTGATTATCCGGGTGTTTTTTGCACGAGAGTAGCAGATTTTGTGCACAGAGATCAAACACAATGTCTGGAACTGGACACCAGGACTGAAAAAATTAACTACTGCCAAACCAGAGTTTAGCGGGAAATCGGACGAAACTTCAGCTACAGAGTTGGAAAGTTCGGCATTTTTATCAATTTTAATGTGTTTTTGGAAAAATTTTCTGAACACGAACTTCCGCGGGAATCGCAAGTTTTCTTTTACATTTTTATTTAAGCAAAGCGACTTATTGACTTGAAGATATCGACGTTGGCACAATAAAAGTTTGCCTTATAGGCGAACAATTTTTAAAGTGTCTGCTGTCTGCTAATTTTAAAATCTAGTCAGTTTTACCCAAAGTAAAGAACCAACACATTGTTGCCTAAAAAACATTTCTCCCTAACTGGCTTAAATAAGAAGGTGCCGGGTTTATCAGTATATCAAGTAATGTTTACGCTATAGACGTGGAACGTTTCGGATTTGCGTCGTCCTCAGGATATGTTTGGGAAAATTTTCAAACCAAGCATTTTCGAAAAAAATCGTACATTTTTATTTACAACAATCTTTCGTCCTATGAACAGGAAAGGTCTGCTCTATATACCGAAAAATTGCTGGATTTGCTACTGTCAGCAGGACAGTTTGGAGAAATTTTCACTCAAATTAGGGAAGGAATGCATTAATCTGCAATAAAATTTGCTTCCCCCAAACTAGATTAGAAAAGAATCTGCTAAGTTTCCGAATAAGTCGAGCAATGTTTGTGCCACAGACTTGGAACGTTTCAAATTTGCATTATTTTCAGGATATTTTCGGTAATTAAAGAAAGTTTGCTTTATAATGAAACAATATAACATTATAATGAAAAAATAATTTTTCCTTAAAATAATAAAACAGAAATGCAAAATTGCGGATTCTACCAATAAATCGAACAGTGTTTGTGTTACATGATTGGAAAGTTTCGAAGTCGCACATCTTCAAGGTACGTTCTCACTGGATTCGCTACTCTGGTGCTTTGTAAAATACTCCTATTGACCTTTATGACTTTTTTCATTCGTGGCTCAGATTTTCCCGCAATTTTCCACGCACTGACTGATCTCATGCATTTGTCTCAAATGAACAATTGCATCAGAAATCCTTCACAGTCTACTCATCTTTCATAAACTCTTTGGCTCAGATGCAAAAAACCTTGTTAATTATCGTGAAGAAATTTACCACAAAATTACTCACCTTAATCAAGCTGAAGTACTTAGCAAGAAACCGGACTGAAGGACTGCTCATATGATCCAAATATACAATAGGACTAAAAAGCACCATCAAATTGAACTTATCGTTGTACTCTGGCCTGGAAGTGGTCAACACTAAGCTGGCTGTGGTTCCTTGCGAATGCCCAACATAAGTGATATTATCGACTTGGGCAAAATCTAAAATATAGTCGACAATTGCTGGCAGATCGTAGTAGCCTTTTTCATGGAAACTGAAGTCCCAAAACTTCGCATCAGACGTGGATAGAGTCTGATGCCTCATGGAGTGAACGTTGCCTCTGTTATTAACCAGCCAAACATCGTAGCCTGCAATGGGACTAGATGCGACAAAAGTCCTCGATTTTCACAGGAAAAGTTACCAGCATCAGCCAACATCAGGGCCAAAGAGTTGTTTGGCCCCTGCCAGACCCAATCTATGGAAGAACAGGCCAAACAGTGTCCTAAAAGAGCAACTGGGCGGTTTGGAACTTCTTTGCCTGCGCCATTTCGACCATACGGAACTCGATGGGCTGTTAGAATGTAACCGTCTTCAGTTACAACATCGTGTGCTTCTACTGTGTAGTTGTAATTCTTCAGCAATTGAGTCTGGAATTTTTATTTATTTTTAGTTGGCCTGCTTGTAATATTAAGACTGAGGAAGCCAGTACTGTTCTTGAAAACTTGAAGAACCATTTTATGTTCTTTAGATTGTCGGAAATTTTCAAACAATTCGAGCTAAAATCGCTAATTCTAAGCTTGTTGAGTCATTTTAGTCATTTTTTGTTCGTTTTTTTGCATTAGAAACTGTAGGAAAGTCAGTCAAAAAAGCTTCAAATCGTGAAATTGAAGACTTGGCAAACACGAGAAAAGGTTACTTTTATTGAAAAGTAACAAAGTAACTTGCTGATTTTAAGCTAAGCTTCAAAATCCTCCGAAAATGCATTTTAGGCATATTTTTTCAAAAATCGAGCTGCAACCTCAAATGGAGCTTCAAATCAATGCTTCTGAAAACTTTCATATTAAGCGAGGTTTAGGATACCAGATTTGATTGAGTTATCAGGAAAAAGCAAAATTAAATGATCAAACAGTGCGAATTTACAATCAAACCACTGTAGCTTACAACAAAGTCGGTTTTTGTGACTAATAAATATTATCTTTGCTAATCGTGAGAATTTTCCCATTGCAAGTCCAAAAAAAATCCCACTTAAGCCTTGTTGGCTATCATCAAATAATCAAATAACGATGACTAGTTGAAAATGAGGCATTTTCAGTTAAAACTGCTGCAAAACAACTTACAATATTCAGCTGCTTGTCTGAACTGAACTGCGAATATCCAAGAAAACACATCCAATAATCCCAAACAATTTTCCAAAGCTTTTTACGTCCATCCGGGGAAATCGTTTCTATATTGCCGACGAGCAAAAGCGCAATAGTCCACCACAAAAAATTGAATTTCATCTCGCCAACATTAAAAAAATTGCCCGTTTTGAGTGAAAATCTTAGTCACAACACTCTACCCACTATACACTATGATCAATTCATTTACTAAATAAATAATTATTTACATATACATTAAGGCTGCTGCTATCAATGTTTGGAAATGCCTGATATTCGACCAGCGGCTCAGAAATATTTAAAAATATTTGATATAAATGTATTTCGCAGATTAATGGTTGAAGATATATTTGTTCCTTTAGTCCGCGCGTCTAGCACTTGCAGCAGACGCCTGAAAACTATGTACTACGAGGCAAAATAGTTTTCTAAAAAATCCCTCAGTTTTTTCCCGCGTTTTTTAATCAGTTTACACCAATCGCTGCGTTTAGAGCATTGAATTTTCAAAGAATCAATAGTCAAAGAAAATAGACTTCTTTGTCTAGAAAGGGGGGCTTTTTCTCATTGAATATCCATTGCACAACTTCTGTGTTAAACCGTCTTTTTCTGCAGGTTTGTACTATCGATCGCGCCAAGCGCGCTAAACGATCCATTAACCATTTAATTTTAATTTGGCTCATTAAATATGTACTTTGGCTATTTTTAGAGTGTTTCTAGGAACATCGCCTTATAAGTGCTGCAAAATGCAAAATTTTAAAGCTTCTAGGTTTTATTTAAAATAAACTGAAAAATTGACCCATTGGGCAAAAATTCATCTATTGCCGCGTCGGTCTTTCTGTCTAAAATCTAAGCTACTCACAATATTTAATCCGATATCCGGATCCAAGTTCACTTGTCCATTAAGCAACGATTGAAATGCCCTGAAGAAAAAGCTAACATTTCCAATAGAATTCACATTAACCGTGAAACAAATCAATAAAAGTAGCACAGTGATTTTCATGTTATTTCGGATGGGGTCTCCCATCACAGACTATTCAATCACGCTCATCTCCACACATTTATATAATAGTGATGCAAATTGATTAAATTTATCAAGCCTAGCACCTGCTCATGCACTTGATTTTTGTTTAGTTGGACGCGAAAACACCTCATTAATCTAGAGTGAACAGACAGACATTGAAATAAAGCGATTTCCACATACTCGACACAAAACGCATAATGATTTAATTAGACTTTGTCCCAATTTGAAGAGCTTGATTTCAAGTGCCCCCCCAAAAAAAATTCGATAGTAGATAAAAGTGCTTTCAGGTAGTCCCATCCCCATTGTTGAGCCCTTCCAATCCTCCTTGGATATATCGATTTAACCTTTTCGAATGCCTGTCGTGACTTAATTGCATTTCATGGAAAACACAGAGGTTTTCCATTACTCCACATGTTCATTCGCCTAAGAGTTTTCAGTGTTTTTTATAAATAAACAAATGTTTGCCATGCAATGGCAACATGGAACCGGAAGAACCCGCTGATTCGATAGTAGTTGGAAACACCGAAGAGGATTGGGAAATATTTCGGATATTGTGCAAATCCGATAAGGTATTTATATTATTAAAGTGAAATTTCTGTTGCTACTAAAGCTGTATTTAAATTTCCTGTAATTAGCTTGAAACGCTTTCATCTCATCAATAACGTAATAAAATATGAAGCAAAAAATTTGCAAGCTAAACTGGCAAGCATTGAGTAAGCGAATGCTGAGAAGCTCCCTTTACAAGAGCAACAAGGAACATTTTTAAATCAGTGTTGGAAAGAGAATGCCGTGCCAACCCCCCTCCCCCCCACAACTAGGCCTGGGTAACACTGTGTTGAGTTGCGCTTTTGAGTTGTTGCTGAGTTAATGAGTTATAACTGCGTCAACTCCTGAAAATTCAATGAGTTACTCAGGCTTAAATCAGAGTATGTTTGGCTCTAAACCAGAGTGGTTTAGTTCACACTGGTTTTTAGAAAAACTTGTCAAGGGGCCAGTTGAAAGTGTTTTTCGTTCCATCGCCAGTAGATTCGCAGGAATTGATTAATTAACTTTTGCGTTTATTTTATTCCTGATGATGGTGCAAAGACGAAACTTTCATACTCACTCTCCACTTGGTTTAATCTTGCTTAGTTTAGCAGATTTACATTTTTGAAGTGCAGTTTACGAAGAAACAGTCGCAGCCCAAGTTGGAAGGTTCCTCAAATGGGTCTCGATAATATCGCAGATAGACAAAACTTTCAAAATCCACAGATTAATGCGTGCTCTTTCCAACACACTTCTTGGCTAACACTTCTTGACTACGTTTTAGTTCACTCGGTTTGGCCGAGCTGAATTTTTGGAAAATTCCGACGCAATTTACGAACAGTCTCTTTCAAATTTGAGTTGCGACTTGCCTGATGACGGCTCAAAAGCAAAACTTTCCCCATCCCGAGAGGAAATGGGTGCGCTCTTTCATGCATGATTCAGCATCAAGCCATCTCAGTCGCTTTGCGGGCAGAAATGATTTTTTTTAATTAGCCGCAACTTAGATTTAACTTCTCTTGAACCAATGTCTAGGCAAAAAGCACTGAAAACTTGTCAATTGATTAGTGCTTGCCAAAAAACATCTCTGTCGTCCTCGAAGATCTCCGCTCAACTTTTACTCGCAAAAAACTCGCTTATGCTTCTGGTTGGTCGAAAATTCAAAAACGTAATTCACTAGATCAAATTTGACTACGGACAGTAGGCCTCGGTAACACTGTGCTGAGTTGTTGCGCTCTCTGGGTGTTATGAGTTAATGGGTTGTAACGCATCGGCCAATGAGTCTCAGAGAGATAACTTATTTATTAAAGTAGATTAAACCTTTACGAGACCCGCGGCCGGAATAACACTCCAAACAACTAAAAAAACTAACGTTTTTCCAGCCATGGAACTGAGTGACTGCAGTGACTGCGCCGGTGCGTTGGGCTGGCGCACCATGCCATTTGCGCAGCATTGCGCCAACTCGTAAAAATTCACTGAGTTACCCAGTCCTAACCCTCCCCTCCCAATCTAAATGCCAAACTCACGCCCCGCCCCCAACAGTTGCGCCTATTAATTGAGACTTGACCCTTCTCCTTTTTTAATCATGCAGTCGAACTTCTTTTTTGCTCTCTTTGAGTTTTGGACTACATACAGGCAAAATGCCTTCAAACGCTGTAGGTGCTCAATATACAGGATGATGCAGTTTTGCAGCAACCACACCTTAGATCCATTTTAGATCAGTGAATTTTTTGCTGCCAAAATCAATAGTAGATATCCAAGATAATGTGAAAAAATGGGTTTCGTGCCATGGCACTAAATGATGCCATTAATTCTGAATGGCTTCGGTATAGACCCTGATTGTTTATCAGTGTTAGTTCCATCCGGCCTCTTTCAACCGTAGCTCGATTCCATTCAGTTAATTCACTCAGATGTGTAGGTATTTCATACCTTTGTTTCATCAAATATTTGACAAAAAATCTCATCTAATTTGACCTGAACTGCATCAAATGCAAAATTGAAATGTATCGATTGTAAAACTGGAATAATTTTGCATTTATATGATCGCTAATCACGCAATCTCCCTATTTTTGAGCTGGCATTTGCGTTCCACCATGCAGCTCTGCTGCAGCAGCGTTATGTGGTTTAGTTCCTTAGTCGGTAAGCTTTACCAGTAAAATCCGTAATAAAAGCAATTCATGTGGGCCTCTAGATGGAAGATCAAGAAGTAGACGTGGCCACGTCGCTTAGAAGCGAGCTGGCCGCTTTGCAGTATAAACGAGACCGGCTGACTCAAGAAGTGGAAGAAATGAGGTCGCAGATCCGAAGCAGGGACCAGCATTGCTTGGAGCTGCAAGTGGAAGCCGAGCAGCTGAGAGAGCAGGCGGCGCGGCAAAATGCCATAATTTCTTCCTTAAAGAAGCGAGTTCACGAGCTGGAGGAAAGAGAGCGAAACCTGTTTGCCGCCCAAGGAAGACACGAAATTTCCCTCCAGTCTGCCCAGAGAGACATCAGGTTTGTCCCCAATCCCTCTGTCTAGTTGCCACCTTTTGCTGCCTCGGTTGTAGGTACAGCGAGGAAAAAGCGAAAGAACTTGAATCCAAAGTCAGACACCTGGAAATCGAGCTCAGCTCAGAAGAGCAAAAGAAAGAATCTGCCAGATTGCAGTTCCAAGACTTCGTCAGACGGCTGTCTGGGGCTTTGGGTGTAGACGCTGTAGATACTTCAAGCATCTCCGCCGAGGCTCTGGTACACAAGGCTTCAGAACTGGTTCAGGCAAGTAAATCTATGAAGTTAACAGCGTAAAAGTACTAAATTCCAGTTGATTTTATTAGGAAACTTCGCGATTGAGAAGTAAGGCGCACAATATAAACGACACTCTGGGATCGGTGGAAGTGGACTTGAGAACATGCAGGGAAAACTTTGAGCGAGCTGTAGCTGACAAGGAGTGCATACAGAGGCAATCGGCTGTCCAGGTAAGTCTGAGAGTAACTGGAAATATGTGGGTAATATTAGAGTGCTTCAACTTGGTCAACGCTTTTTCTCGGGAAGAACAGCTTCCAAAAAATATATGATGCTTTCACTGCTTTGAGTAAACATTTTAGAGCTTTCGATGAATATGTGCTTGGCCATAGATCATAGTGGTGTAGCTTCGCGAAGCAATTAGTCTCATTCTTCAGTTTTCTGTTTGTTGATTCTTCTGTAAAGATATTAAAATTTTGGCTTCACTGATTGAAAAGAAAGCACAATATTCGGAGGAAGATTCTAATTAGGATACAAAACGACTTTGGAAGCAACTCTGGAAATGTATGACTTTATCACCGACTTTCTTTCTAAATTTCCCTAATTTTCGTGAGAACTTCCTTAGTTTTTTAAGACGCATTTGAGGTTCCCAATGAAAGCGAGAGCAAAACAGGGTTTTACATTCAAGCGTCAAATCTGCACTCCTTGAGGTCTCATTTTTGAGTCAAGTAAATACGTTTGTAGCTATTTGTTTTTGTTTAAACGTTTAAACTGCAGTTTTACAAGCTACAATTTTAGTTAATCACATTTAATGTGCGATTTATTAAAAATTGCTAAAGGGACCAGTTAGAACGTTGCTTTTAAGGGTACTCTGTAGAGGAACTTTTGCCACTCTTGCTCTATCTATCCTGCAAAAGTACATTAACGCCTAATTTTCCTCGAGTTTAAGCAATTTTCATAAATTTGCTGATAAAAATTGAGGAAAGCTGAAAGTTTTCTTTTAAGGCCACTTTATATCGGAACTTTGGTTTTTTTAACACCGCAAAATTTGGTTTACACCTAATTTTTCTCGAGTTTTTCGCTATTTTTAAATCTTGATGGTTCCAGTAGCAATTGTTCATTTGACAGATTCAGAGGCCAATTTTTATAAATTTGCTGTTAAAAATTGGGAAAAGGTGAAACGTTGCTTTTCAGGAAACTTTATAGAGACACTCTTGCTCTATGAATCCTGCAAAAGTCGATTTACGTTTAATTTTCCTCCAGTCTTGAGCAATTTTTAAAAGTTGATGGTTCAAGTAGCAATTCTAAATCGGTCACATTCAGCGGACGATTTTCATAGTTGTTGATTAAAATTGAGACAAGCTGAAAGTTTTCTTTTAAGGGCACTTTATACAGGAACTTTGATTTTTTAATACTGCAAAATTTGATTTACGCCTTAATGTTCTCGAGTTTTTCGCAACCTCTAAAGCTTTCCACCATCATCAGTTTTTATAAAATAACAGATAGTTTGTGTGTTATCAAAATCAAAATTATGCAACTTCTGTTGTGCATGCTGTGCTAATGCTGTACCATTTTCGTTATTTTTTCTTAGGCTATACTTATGTTCGTATATTCTTTTCTTTAGATATTGTCCTGTTTGACGTATGTATGTGTTATCACAATTCCAACAGTCTATTTTGTAAATTACATTAGGCGTGTCTAACTTGTCAATCCTAGGTTTAAATTTTGTGAAACATTCATTTGCTAAAGTGTTTTTAGTTTTTTCTGCTATGCTGATATTGCAAATTTTTTATTTTTTTAATAGTGCAAAATTTGATTTCCGCCTAATTTTTCTCGAGTTTTTCGCTATTTTTAAAGCTTAATGGTTCCAGTAGCAATTGTTCATTTGTTATATTTATTGGCCGATTTTCATAAAATTGTTGTTAAAAATTGGGAGAAGCTGTATAATTGTGTAGCTTCGCGAAGAATTTTCTCAGTCTAATTTTTCAGTTTTCTTTTCATTCTTCTGTTAAAATATTAAAATTTTGGCTTCACTGATTGAAAAGAAAGCACGATATTCGGAGGAAGATTCTAATTAGGATACAAAAACGACTTTGGAAGCAACTCGGGAAATGTGTGACTTTACCAGCGACTTTCTTTCTAAATTGCCCTAATTTTGGTGCCAACTTCCTTAGTTTTTTAAGACGCATTTGAGGTTCCCAATGAAAGCGAGAGGAAAAGAGGGTTTTGCATTCAAGCGTCAAATCTGCACCCCTGGAGGTCTCATTTTTGAGTCACCAAAGGCTCTTTAGAACACTCGATGGTTTAGAGCAGTGAGAGATAGAGACTTGAAAGTTTCGTGAGGTGAAGGCATCAATCATCCAGGCAATTTTATTAGAATTGTGTACTTGGTTGCAAACGAAGTGAATACAATTAAATAACTTGGCTCTTGTTCAGATACTTGAAATCGATCGGCTCAGGCAGGAAAAAGAAGCCCTTGAAATGCAGCATCGCGTCACCGAACGAGAACTTAACGAAATCAAAGAAAAACTGTCAATTTCAACCAGAAATTTGGGCTCAGCCAGTGGAAATATCGCTCAGCAGGAGTCTTTGATTTGTCAACTGCGAGGTAAAACTTCCCCTAACAGAAGAACTAAAATTGACTGATGGTTTTTTAGAGGAAATCAAGGTGAGGGACGACAGAGTCCAGCGATTGCAAGCAGAACAGAAGCATACTTTGGAGTCTTTGGCTATACAGTTGAGCACTCCTACTCGGTTTGTTGACTCCATCGAGATGACCATCAAGGAAAAATTGCACGAAGTTCTATCCGAGAACAAAGAGAAGACTGCGGTAAGTTGTGAAATAGCGGGGTTTTGCAATTCTTCACTTGCGCTGTGGATTGCAGCAAATTGAAAGCCTGAGGGAAAAATTGGCGCATGAAACCCAGCAGCTTTCCAGGCAAATAGCGCTTTGCGACCAGGCCAATTCCAAAGCTCGCCTGCTGGAAGACGAAAAAAATCACCTGGAGGCTCGATTGAATAAAGCGGATGTCGACATTAATTCCTGCGAGTTATCCAGGGATGCACTCAAAAGGGACAAATGCACTGTGAGTTCCTTCCCCGTTTAATTAACATCAGTTTGGTAAAAATAAATTGCTTGACTTTCAGTTTATGAATTTCCTGGAACGACTAGCTCGCGCCCTAAATATGGATGAAATTTCGCACGATATTGGCGTGGATCTGCACACGGAGTCGTTGCTGCTCAGAGCTGAGCAACTATCCAGACTGGAAGGCGACAAACTAGTGGACAAGGTAAAGTTTCCACTTCCTTAGCAGCTAGTTTGGATTCTGTAGTTGATTTTTCGTTTCTCTCAAAAGCTGCTTTGCTGCGGATACGGCACTTTACCTCGACTGTCTTGTTTGAGACGGGAACGATCTTTCCATGACGTCCCATTGCGCGATGTAAGACATTCATCTACTCTTATACTCATTTCATCATTTGAATATCTGGTTAATCACTGGAAACTCTTAAGAAGCTGCTGTAAAAAAGCCAATGAGCGCCCAAACATGCCGACACTTTGGGCCTGCCAGTGACTCTTCCTCTTAACAAAAGCTAACTGATTATTTCACGTAAAAAAACTGGTATTAAATTATTCAGCACACTCAACCCACCTTCATGTGCAGTGCTGAAAACAGCTAATGCTGTTTTCAATATTCTGCATACCTAGTCATTGATCTTCAAGTGCACAAACCATCAATTAAATGCTTCTTCAATTTCAGACCGCCCTCGTTTATCAGCTTCAGCGCAGAGTCAGGACTTTAAGGGAACAGGTGCAAAGGAAAGACCTCCACCTGGACCTTCTGCGTCGGAAGCTGTCGCTTCAGGAAGACAACACCAAGACCAAATGCTTGCTGCAAAGCGAACGCGATGAAGCCAACGCTAGGATTAAGAAGCTGATCAAGCAGGTGGATCGGCTGCAGCTGCAGCTCAGTGAAGCCAAGAGCCAAATACGCGAAATGAACAGTCAGCTCTCTGAAGCAGCTGATTATAAGGTGAGCAACAACCAACGGGTCAATCTAGTTTACATTGCAGGGAAAATTTAGATAACCGCGCTAGAGAGAGGGAGGAAAATCGAGGAGCTTCAAAAGAAGCTGATGGACTCAGAAACTTTGAGAACAAAGTACAATAGGAAAGTGACGATTTTGAAGGACCAAATACGCCAAACTGGAGACACAATCGATCAGGAGAGGAACATCAGCGAGCATTCGCTGCAGCTGTTGAGGTGAGGCGATTGCAATGCTAAAACCACAGACTTATTTTTTTGAATTAATCCAGAGATGAAATCTCGCGAGTGAAGGACCAACTAATTGAGGTGCAAAGACGAGAGTCGCAGCTGCAAAGCTTCAAGCATTCGGTGGCCAAAATCTTAGGAATTGTGCTGCCAATGCCCGACTATGAGTTGGTGTCGAGGCTGCAGAAGTTGGTGGATGCCCATCATGACTTCACGTTGGTTTCCAGACGATACGACGATCCAGTGCTCCGGTTAACCGCAAGGTCTCCAACGGGGGGATCCCGAATATCCAGGACTCCGGATCGCTCGCGTTACGACGATTCTGGGTACGCTGATGGCGCGGATCTGGACAATTCGGACGAGGATCTCTTCAAGAGACAAGGGAGGATTTGACGGACTACTCTTAAGGGCCGTTGGAATTGTTGATTTTTTAACTAATTGACTACTAATGAAGACACCATTAGATCAGTATTAATAATCACTGCCACACTTTTCTGTAAGGGACATATGAAATTAAACGCTCTTGAACGAACACGTTTCTATTAATCAGTGAAAACCTACAGGGTGTTCCCAACCTGAACAGACGTAAATGTTACATGATGATCTAAATATGATCAATTGTTGAAGAACTTTGATGGATAAATGGTGATAATTGAACAATTATTTATATTTACTTAGTTGCTTGCTTTAGAGAATAGTTCAAATATGGTCTTATTGATTAATGTGTTTGGCTGCACACTTTTACATTGAACTTTGCGCTTGCGGTTGTAATCTTGGCATGGCTTGTTATAGTAAATTAAAATGTTGTTTAAGAAAACAACTATATGATTGTTTCTGAATATACGTGTGATCTCAGTCAGTTTTAGCGTCGCATTATGAGCAAATCATTTTAGATACAGCGGTGATTCACTTCACTTGGTGGCTCTAATTGCTTTTTTACGTGATCCGTAATTTTCCGAAATGTATCTGAAGCAGATACGTAAACGAGCCTGGATTCCGTTGACCTTTGAAGTTAATGTAACGGAAATATTGCTTGAAATTAAGTGGTTAATTAGGGTTTATCAAGAATTGCTTTCCAAAGTTATCAAGCAAGAGAAGTCTGAAAAGAGCTTATTATGTGAATTTGGGAGTATTTTTCAAAAGTTTGCAAGTTAATCAAGTCTCAATTTCATTAAATACGTTCGTAGCTATTGGTTTTTGCTTAAATGTTTAAACTGCAGTTTTACAAGCTACAACTTTAGTTAATCACATTT